TAATATGGCACAAGCATGCTTAATTATCTTCTCTCTCTATATATAGGAATCCATTGCCTCATTCATTAAATATAATTGCTGTATGACTTGCAGAAAATATTTTTCAAATGAATGGAGGCTGAGCAAGTAAAGATGAAGAAAATTGGTAAAACATGGGAAATTTCTGCATAATGGGATCAAAATTTATTAATACTATTAAAAATAACTTCCTGTAGACTGTCTAAGGTCAGCCTGTAATTGAGTAGTCAAAGCTAGATATTGCTGGGGTTTTTCTTTGGGCTGTTTTTCTGGTTACTGAGTATTTTCCTCATGAATAATGCTAACAGCAACCAGTTTTTATCTGAGTATCCCCTGTGAAACTGGCTCTCTTCGTAGGTTTCTGTTGATGTGCTTTTCTGTAACTGAGTAATCCAGATCACTTCAATCTAACCATGCAAATTTCATGTGTTGATATATATTGGCATTAGAAAGTATATATAAAATTTAGCTTGGGAAGTAGAAAATGAAAAATCTAATATCCAGAGCGAATGATCCACAAGATCAGTTCATTGCAAATACTAATAACAATAATAATAGTAATTACAATTAAACATAAATTAAGTAAAAATATTAAATTTTGTTTAACTTTTTAAAAATTTTACCTTTTCTCAATTATATTTTTAAATACTGAAATAGATATGCATGTTTTGTTATGATCTAGTTCATTTCATAGATTGTACGATTGTATTATGTTATGATTAATAAAACCCTAAAAACCAATTACTGTATGTTATTAGTGATGCAAAATTTTACCAATATTATTGTAACTGTTTTATACATAATAACAAAAGTGAAGAAATAATATTTTTAATGCTTATAAGTGCCCTCCTAGTTAGGATTTATATATTCAAAATGTGGCAAAATCAAACAGCTTCACATATAGATATTTTGATTGTAAACTTATAAAAAAATACAATTTTTTTTTGCTGACGTTTTTTATATATTGGCGTTTGTGAAATTAAATCCTTGATAGGAGTTGCTTTTTTCCATGTCTGAGATAGCATTAAAGATCATTTTACCATTGGCTTCAGTTGTGCTCTACCTTCCTTAATTCAGTGTCTTTATTCCTCTTAGAATAATCATATTAAAAATAGCTTTCAATTGCTCTTCCAGCTTTCTCTCTATAGACATTCCAAGAGATTCCACTTCTGACACCAGGTGTTGTGAGCTGCAGATTTGTGACTCTTTAAAAGTCACTCCAAATGAGCAGGCAAAATTGACAATTTATTGCAACTGGTAAAATTATACTGCAAAGTAAATAGATGCAAATAGCCCAGATAGTGCACACATGTTAAACAGATCCTCCTCAGCAAACAAGAAATATCATAAATTCTCAATATCACTCGCACTGTAAACTCAAAACTGCATTGTAGCTAATTCGCGTTGAACCACTTCCACTCAGAATTGAATGAAAATTGTCTGATCTTGGCTTAGGGAGCCGTATTATATGGTGTTGCACGTGCATTTGGAAATTTTGTGGAAACTTTATCCTAGAGCTTTAAAAATGTATTTTCCCCAAACTTCCAGAAACTTGCCAGGCCCTTCAGGAGCATTTTTGTCTTTATTTCACATTCTAGTTAATTTATTTAAAGTTTTTAAATGTTGTTTGATTCAGAACTGAAAGATCTTCAATTTTATACAAGAATAAAATGCTTATATGCAGAATAAATGTAGCTAAAAATTTAATTACATTCGAAATCAAACCCCAAAACTATTACTTAAAGAAGAAAATTATTAAACAAATAAATAAAACAAAACAAAATTTCACAACATAATGGAAAAATAAATATTAAATCAAGAGGGTTTAAATATTAAAATTAAATAGAAAATTTCAGCAGTACTTAACACTTATCCAATTGAAACTATTTTGAATATTATTCAGCATCTTCATTTAAGTTTATAATTGCATAATTATGTTGTTGCTATGATATAGAACTCACAGTCACTCATTTTCTACCATCTAACTTGGATTCCAAACCTTTCTTTTGCATCAATCCCTTTTAAAACAAAGGTTTTTTCCATAGACCTCCTTACACTTTTCTGAAACTTAACAAACCAGTGATAAATATGGACAGTTACTGCCCGATTTCTCTTACAAGCGTACTGTGTAAATCACCTGAGAGATTGATTGCTGACAGGTTAAAGTTTGTGCTAGACAAAATTGGTTTAATGTCTGAAAAACAAGTGGGTTTCCATAGACATAGATGCGTAGTTAAACAAATTGTACGCTTGTCCCAAGAGGTAAAAGATGGCTTTCAAAGAAGACAAAGTACCCTCGCAGTGTTTGTGGACTTTAAAAATGCATTTGATAGGGTCTGGAGAGCTGGACTGCTTAGGAAGCTGATTTCCTGTGCCATTTCAGGCTACTTGTGTAAACAGATTGAAAGTTTTCTTGACCAATGCTTTATAAGTATGGTCATCCTGTGTTATTCAGGTTCAGTGGCGTAGCTAGGGTGAGGCAAGGGGGACATTTGTCCCTGGGCACAGCATCCAGGGGGTGCCAAATTGACGCTACAAAATTTTTTAATGGAAATGTTTTCCCATTTGGCACACATAAAGGGGCGCAAATTCTTTAGTTGTCCCCGGGCGCTGGAATCGTAGCTACACCACTGTTCAGGTTATAGACAAACCAAACAGGGTTTACCCCAAGGAGCTGTTCTGAACCCGATTCTTTTTAATAGACACTATTTTCATGATCAATGATGTAATAGACACTATTTTCAGTTCTGTCCTAGATGTGAATCTCTTACTATTTGTGGTGATGAGTGCTACAGGATCTGACTTTGCTGCCCTGGAGAGAGTCCTGCAACAGGCCTTAAATGTTAACACCTGGACTTATGATAATAATATTTTCATAAATACTGATAAAACCACCTGTCAGTTGTTTTCCCTCAGAACAAAACATCAAGATATCCAACTTCAATTTAATGACAAAGACCTGAATAGAACTTACTGATACTGTCTACTTGGGTATTCACTTAGCTCCAAAATTCCAAAATTTAGTTTTCACTTAGCTCCAAAATTAACTTAGATAAAACATGTTGATTCAGCCATTGATAAAGGATAAGTTAGATCAAGATTATTGAAATGTTTAGCTGGTGTCACTTGGGACTCAACCCAAGATGTCTTGTGTGCAAACTAGAAAAGTTATGTTGTCCTGTTGTTTAATATAGAAACTAGGCTTTGATAACCGCCTCAAACTCTGCCAAAAACAAGCTTGACCTATTCCAAAACAACATGTTGCGATTGATCACTGGTGGCGCTAAATCATCCCCCATAGTTTCTATGGAACTTCAGACTGAACTAGAACCATTAAGTGAAAGATGCCAAAGGGCTGTAAACTTCATTGAAAAAAATTTTGTGAATAAAAAATAACTTTTTAAATGATTACGTACCAGCGAACGAAAGATTAAAACCAGAATTCCTTCCTTTCTACTGTCAATGATCTGTATGATAACTATGATATTCCTACACCCAATCACCAGGTTTTTCCTCAGGAATTAAATCCTGTTCTAGACCAAACCATGTTGGAGGGCCACCTTTATCTTGTTTGGAATGTCGATAAACACCTCTCTTTACAAAGTGAATTAAAAAGTGCTGCTGTGGCTTATACACTCATGTCCATAAATTAAGGATAATGCAAAATCAGGCAAAGGAAGAGTAGAACAAAACAATTTGATTTTTGTAAGTTATTATAAACAAAATAAAGAGCAAAAAAACACTATTGTTTGATATATTAAAATATTAGCGTTTTTCTCCCTGAGCAAATACAAAAAAAAAACCCTATTACAAAAAACCATATTACATGTTGGTATGATGTTCATACTTGTATGTACCGGACAATGCATACGTCATACAACGCTAGCGCTGAGTATCAATTACGATCTGACTGGGGATATTTACACCACTCAAAAAGAATGCTCTCAAAGTTCTGGTAGACTGTAGGGAGGTTACAGGCTGCCACTCATCGGCAAACTGTCCAACGTGCTCTACGGATTCAAGTCCGGTGAGAATGTGGCAGTCTACGGGTGATTCCTGTGATGAAGCATTCGCTTGATGTTTGCACGGTGAGGACGGCGTGTCATCCTAACACAAATTGGGCGAGGCGCCCTGAACAAACTACATTGTTCCAAATGACGTCCCGAGATTTGGCTTGTCAGGTTCCATTTGAACATGAGGTCAGTTCTGACCCAAAAATAATCACCCCAAACGAGCACTCGCACACCTGTAACAGTGTCGTTCAATGAGTTTCTTTGAAGGTCCTGATCTCCATTGAAGTCTGGCGAGAATCAGACTGCAGCTAAACCTGGACTCGTCGAAAACATCACTCAAGCCCACTGTTGCGGTATCCACAATGCATGCTTCTCTCAGGCTACCCGCGGACAGTATTTGAGTAAGTGGAACGCATTTGAAGGTCTACGACATATAGACCAATCTGGCCCTAAGCGTCTGTACACGGTTGGTTGCCTGTTGTGCCAGTGGTGAGGAGCGACGAGACAGTATGAGGCTGGCTCCGCCTGTTTTTTGGCAGCACTGCAAATACCGTCTTCTTCGGCGTTTAACTGGGGCGACCTGTTCGTAACATCTACTCACATTCCATCATCATAGAATCATGCCAAAGCTGAGATGAACTCTGGCAATTCCAGTCATTGATACTTCCATTGGGTAAGCCCCATTCCAGACAGCCAAATTCCACTTAAAACTCTCCATCATCCTTGTGTATAACTATTCGTTATTGCCTGAATGCTTTAAGCACCTGCACGAATTTTATTCTTGCCTGTTTCCTTATCTATCCTTCTTACACTCGTCATTGTGACGTACTCGGTGTCATCTGGTTACTCCGAAATTTGCATATGATTCTTGAAGATGTGTGTAGTGATTTACGTGATATTATTTTGAGTTCGATTTCCGCGGGACTCCAAATTATCCTTAATTTATGGACATGACTGTATATATAGTAGGTACCCTCCTGATGATTGGCTCCATGTGTTCGCTGATGGTTTGACAGAAGATGTTATAAAAAACTCCAGTGCTGGAGCATATTCAAGTACTTTCAGTATTAGCTATCCTGCTGAGAAATACTGTGACAATGTTGATGGACAGATAGCAACAATATCATTTGCAACTGATAAATTGAGATACAGTCCTGATCCCAATTTTGTGTTTCTCATTGATTCTCAGACTGCTATATTGTTGCTTGTGAATTCAAAATACAATGAAAATGCACATATCCATACTTGTAGTCACATATCTATTCATAAATACAATGAAAATACATATATCCATACTGTGCAAGGCTTTTTGAACTTAGGAATTCTAGAGAAAACTTCGCCCTCCAGTGGATTCTGACGCATTGTGGCAGGCTGATAAGACTTGCTAAAGCTAGTTCTCTGATGACTCAGCCTGATTCTCTTCTGCCTTTGCATGACATTAAAATGATTGCAAACAATAAAATTAAGAATAATAGAATGTCCTTGTACAGCGATGCAGCTGTGGATAAGAGGTGCAACATAAAAAATATATCTTAACAAAAAAATAAAATTCCCAGTTCTTTGCCTCAATCTTTTGGAGTTGCTTGTTTTCAAATGCTAACTGGACATGATTATTTACAAAAGCATTTTTGTCGTACTGGAATCAAGGATTCAGCTTATTGCCATTTATGTCATCAGAGCAATATGAATGGCGAATGGGGTGGCGATTCTCAAGAATTGCCTCATTGTTTTAAAGTTTTTTAATGGCAACTCTTTTGAAGCTTGTTTTAATTCTCATTTTTATTCTTTTTCATTTTACTAGGTTGCTCGTTGCTTAATGGTAGAAATGCCGTGAACGGGCATAGAGTAAAAAAAAATTTTTATTCCCCTCTGTAATATATAGCATACAGCATAATCACAATATAAATAATTTCACATTATTATCTTAATGAGCCCATGGGTAAGAATGCCTCTAGATTTTGAAAAAAAAAAGATTTTTCCTTCTTAGTATTATATTTTTTTTTTTTTTTGTTTTTTATTTTGTTACTTTAATTCTGAAAAATTTCCCCTTTTAAGAACAAAAACTCTTGTGTTCAAGCCCGTCTGAATTCAAACGCCAGCCAGCTCCTTGTGTATTGGTGCAGTTTTTGAATATTTTTATAAATTGCTTAGTTCTCATTTACTTTATTAAAAAATATGCAACCTGTTTTTTGTTTTCTGAACAAATTATTGACTTGACTAAAGCCTGCTAAAGGTAAGAAGTGGAAGTCATATGTATTCTAACAGCTTTATTGGTATTTCTCTTAGATGCCTTTTAAGCTCCAGCCTTAGCATACTCATGTTTGTTGAAAAAGATCATTCTCTTCCAATTCAGTCAACTCTTCTTGTATCATAAAATGCCTTGGAAGTGAACATTAAAACTTTTCATTTGTGCTTGTGTTAATAATATTCTCAAAGAAAGTTTGTTGTTTTCTTTGTTGGTGTATTCTGTGTTTCTGATTTTATTTGTTTCATTTATTGCATAAAAATTAATTTTAAAAAGTATATTTATTTAAAATTATTAAATATTTTATGTATTTCCCCTTTATTTACTTTATATGATTCTCCTTTGCATCATATAGCTTATATCAACAAACGTAATTACAGTTTATTAAAAATTTTTTTCCATCAGGGGATCTGATTATGATGATCGCTTTACTATAGTACATTCCATCACCCCAGTCAACTCTCATTATCATGATATCTTTTAAAATGTCACTGACCCCTTCAGAGGTCAACACCACCTTGCTTGAACCCTAATCTAATTAATTCAATATTGCTCAACTTCTTATGTTTTATCCAGTATTATTGCAGTTCTGTATTGTCTCGAAAGATAGAAAAAAAATTTTTTATACTAGAGCATAAGAAATAAATACGAGATTTTATTTGTCTGAGTAACTGTGTTCTTTTATCTGCTCTCAAATAACTGTAGAAAATGCAAATAATTAAAAAGATTTGAGTTTAGCATAAATATGTTTGGTATTTAAAGTTTAAATTAAATTAAGCTGTAAAGTTATAAAGTAATTGGTATTTATAGTCTAAAAATGTCTGGGACCTTCATTTGAAATATCACAAATAATATTATATATCTTCATTTCCTAGTCTAAGTTATAATCAACTTTATTTTAAATTTGATAAATTTTGAAAATTCTTAAGTCAGTTACTATATAGAATAAGTTTATTTACCTCTTTAGGCAGACTTATGAGGACAGACTGAAAAAATCCCAGAGTTCATCTTTTTTCCCTAAAACATTAGAGGTAAAAATTTCCAGAAGAAGTTATGCATCAGTGGATTCTAGTTTTAAATTATTTTAAATTTAATTAATTCTGTAATAGTATTGCTGTTTTAATATAGAAGTATTGATAAGAATCTTTTTTTTTTTTTTTTTTTTTTTGATCTTTTAAGATTCATGGCTTTCTATCATCAAGTCAGCAATTTTGGTCATGCTTTTAATAGGTTTGTTAGAGTATATGGTTAATCAGACATATATTCCATGTTCTGGATAGCATTTGTACTTACAAATGCAGGTATTAAGTATTGCATTTAGTTAAGTATACTAACGTAGAAATTTTTATTTTTTTCCCCTTCAGCATGATTATGCTGATGATGCTATGGAGCTTCGAATTATAAAGTTTTCTTATGTATAAAGAAATTGCAATAATGGCAATTGCACTACTTTGCTTATATTTCTCGAAAAAATGTAAAAGGGGACCCTCTCTTTCTCTCTCTCTCTATATATATGTGTGTGTGTATGTGTGTGTGTATATATAAAGTAAGAAATTAGAACTAAAGTCTCACAAAGACCAGAAATTGAAATTCATACTTAATAAATTTCAAATAATTATAGAAGTGCAACAATAAATTTAAAAAGGTCAAAACCAAAGGGGGGTTTGAAATTTATTAAGTATGAATTTGAATTTCTGGTCTTTGTGAAACATTAGTTCCAATTTCTTATTTTATGTCTTTGATGATCATTTGCGCATCGTAATGACAAAGATACTAGGCACTTCTGTTTGTTTTCAAAAAGAATTTTTTGTAATTTATATATATATATTACTAAACTTATAATAATGCACAAGTATGCAAAAAATGAAAACAACTGACTGTTAGATCTTTAAAATTTTAACTGTCATCATTGCCAATTTATAAAAAAGCATTCTTTAAAAAATAAACAGTAGTGTTTATTGGCAGATGATTGGTTAAACATTTTAATATTTCCACATATATATGCATACGTGTGGAGAGTTACAAAATGAGCCTTTATAATTAATGTTTGGAATATGTTAGCTTGCATTTAGTAAGTATAATTAATTTAATTCATTTATCATTTTAATTGCAATAAATAGCATGTCACACAGGCTACTTTCGAGCAGTTACAAAAAACAGAATAGGTCATTGGTCTCAAACTCAGACTGAATGTGGCTGAATGCTCGACCTTAAAACAGCAGATGGGCCAGAATTTTTTTTAATGAAAAAGTGTTCTTTTTTAAACAAAATGAAAAAAATTATGAACAAAATAAAAAACATTTTAAATAAAGTTTACAGACTAAAGATTTATAAAAATATATGTAAGCAATAATACTAATAATATCTGAAAGGAAAAAAATCAAATTTATATTTATTTTCTATTTGAGATCTTGATTTTTGCATCTGTGACTTTCTCTTAGATATGCTTCTTAATACAAATATATTGACAGCTGAATATTAAATTCTGAGACTGATATTTTATCAAATAATTCTAACTGTTAATTAATCATGAAATAACTTATTTAATTTAAACAAAAAATAAACAAATCATGAAAATTTACCAAATGGGATGAAATTTGAGAATATACAACACCAACCTAGACTCTCTTTCTTATTTATTAAATTAAATGCATGACACTTAATGGTAGATCAATTCTGATAAATTTTGTAGCTTCAGAGAGAAATTGCTAGAAATTATTTTCATCACAGATTATAGATGCTTATCGGTCAGCTGGGTTCTGGTTCTTTTCTCTTTAATTTTCATCTGTTAAAAAAAAAAACTGTTTGCATATAAATGTATTCATAAACAAAATTATTATTCTTAGTGCACAAATTTGTAACTGGGGGTATTTATCTTTTGAATAATATGAATAAAAGTTATCAGTATCTTCCAATCTTTAAATATGATTTTATTTCACATTGTAAATGAATTAGCACCATTTATAGGTTTTTTGTTATTCACATTTGTTTTTAATGGAACTTGTAATGTAAACTTGGAACTAATGTAATCTTGGACTAATGGAACTAATGTAAACTTGGACTTCAAATAGCTAAAATTTTGAAATCTTTGTAATACTCTATTTCCAACAAATATCCATATAATTTAGATGCCTTCATGGGCCACATAAAATTGCACATAAGTTGGCAGTTTAAGGCTACTGGAATAGATTTTAACCATTTAAATTATACTTGTGTATGTTGCTATGTGCTGTTCACTTTTCTGCCATATATGTTTTTCAGGAGGCTGCATATCAATACTTTATATTGAATGTCATCTTAATTTTACTTTGTTACATTGTTTGTCATAGGCTATTGTAGTAAAAATGATGATATGGCAAAAAAACTCTAATGCTAATTTTTTTAAAGAGTTGTTAGATTCTTGCTTCACATATATCTAAATGTTTTTATTAAAAAATTTTATTTTCTTTGAAGCATATTTTAGTGTTATATTTAGTTTTTTTCAGTTATCATATAAAGTTCTATTGATGTTATTCATGTCTTGACTTTATTTCAATAATTAAGCAGATTACTTTTAACAGTTATACAATGTTTATATAGTCCAGATTATATGCGTTGTAGATAAGTAAAATTTCTGTATACTGTGACATCAACTGTAATCACTGTTATTATCCTGTATATTTTAATATGCTTATAGTTTGTAAAAGTAATTTTTTATTGTTCTGCAACAAAGAATTTTTCTATATTTTTAATTTACAATCCTGTTAATCCCCCTTAGTAAATTAGGAGTTAACTGTATAGCTCTTCTTGCCCCACCCCCCAAAATTACATGCTTTCCAGTTATTTAAAGCAAAGCCGAGTTATAAATAGTTATTTGAGTTATAAATAGTTATTTGAGTTATAAATAGTTATTTAAAGTATTATAAGTGTTTATTGTACTTATCTTATCTGCCTTTATTATAAGTGTATATTCCACTTGGGGATATCCAGAATCAGTAGCTAATGTCAAGGACATTGATAAATTTGATGATGATGCCTGCATTAGCTATTTCTGTATGTTAATTGTAGCGGTAGTTTTGTTAATTTAAAAAAATAAATTTCTAGTTACTACTCAGTTATTATCTGCAGTATAGTTTTAAAGATAGAAAAATGTATTCCACTGCTCTAAGTTTCGACTCATTATCTCTAAGCCTTTGATTCTGTATCTTATCTACTAAGAGTTGGTGAAATTGAAAGAGCAACTTTTTTTTAAATGCAACATGCCAAGAACTATAACAAGGAGGCAACAGGGAGATAAGTATTTATTGATATATTTAGTATTTATTATAGCTATCATGCCTGGATAACCCGCAAATATGAAACATCCTATAATAGGAAATTAGTTTCATTCACAATGTAATTGATGTGAAAAAATGCTGAATTTCTAAAAAGCAGACGATGATAAAGAGTTAATGATTTTAATGTGCTCTTTTTTTTAAATTCTCAGTGTAATTTTTTTTTCAAAGATTGATATCAGTTCAAATTTATAAGTACTTTTACTAGATGATATATGTTTGTACTATATGATAAGATATGTGTGGTTGAAATTTAAATTAGTTTCAGGTTTGAGAGAAATGTTAATTAGTTTTAAGCTGATAGAATTTACTTTAGCTCTTTGCAATAGTAATAGGCATTACATTTAACGTACATGAATAGCATGAAACATTTTAATTGCTGTCATCAAGAAACATTCAAAATGTTTTCAAATTTTATAATATGTACTGTTTTTCCTAGCAATAAAAAAAGCATTTGGAATTTTTAATTTGAAAAATTAACCATTTTTAGATTTTTGCCAATTTGGTATAGTGAACATACACTTTAAAAAAAATACATTATTTCAAATTCTGAATTTGAAAACTTGACAAGGGGTTTATATGTGTACATGTACAAATGTGAAACTGTAAGCTTTCATGCCAATGCTTCTGCATATGTGTAACAGTAAGATTATCTTTAAAGATTTTTATTTTTCTGCACTCTAAAATGAAATATATTTCCTTTGCACTTAAATTTCCTATTCTCTCATACAGTTATTTATAATAAATCTTTTACAGACAAGAGTATTGCGTAATGATTTTGCACGTTATAATGTCGATGTTGATGATATAGAAAATATGGAATGTGATGAGTATGGATGGAAAATTATTCGGGGTGATGTTTTCCGTTTTCCTCCCTACAGAAGTTTATTTTGTGCCATATTAGGTATGTTAAAATTACTAAAATATGCATTATTAAAATATGCATTTAAATTACTAAAATATGCTTTTACAGTTTGAACTATATTATTACCAAAGTTCGTTTAACATACAGATTCCTTTCCCCCCCTAGGTGTAGGCGTTCAGTTTCTTTCAATAGCTTTAGGTCTAGTTGTAATGGCATTGCTTGATTTATTTAATGTCCATAACCATGGAACAATGAATGCTATAGCTTTTCTTCTGTATGCCTTTACATCAGGTAATCCTGCTTTCACTGTTTATTTGCATATATGTATATATACATACACACATACATGCACACCATATCACAAAAGTCCTTATCCAGACTTATTTTCACAGCCATTGGTTTGTAGACAAATATTTCCAATTGCAAAAATATTTTAAACAATGTAAAGAGTGATGATTTTGTATTTTTAAATTTAAAAAAAAAAAAAAGTGTAATTTTGTACAATATAAGAAATCTAACTTTTTATATGTTGCCCTGGTTGCTATAATTACATTTCAGAAAAATGTATTCTTATTTTAAAAAATAAAACACAAAAAGTATTCTAGAGAAAATTGTCCAAGATAGTATTTGGTATTAAAGTCTGATTATGTTTAGGGCCATACACAAACTGAAGAGTGAAAAGTTTGCATGTGTACGTAACTAGAATAGAAAAAAGGTTTTGATGTTAAGAGATTAAGTGATAATCATTTATAAGCATATTATTTGAAAAGTATTGATGGATATAATTTTTATTTTTTAAAATGGAGATCTTCACAAGATTCACAGAATCTTGTAGAATTCGTGTCCTAGAAAACACTACGAGGCTTCAATAGTGGCATTCCTAGTACTATTATTTTTATTAAAAATGGAAATTATTTGTATTCTAATGAAATTTTGTATGATTATGATCATGATTCTAAAGTAATAAAACTTCATGAGAGCATTAATAACATATTTTTTGACTTTGCAAACTTATAAATTGCTTGTGTAAAAATTCTTCCGGCATACCACACGTAATAAAATAATAAATTAAAGATGCTAATAAATAGCAAAAAATATCACTGAATGGCATTTAAGGAGAAAAATATCAATTTTGAATTATTGTAATTTACTTACTAACTGACCCATAAAATCTCATTACGGTTTTGTTGCACGAATGTCAAACTTTTTGTGTTTTATTTTTTATAGCAAGTGCAAAATTTGGTAAAAGATTACAATTTGGTGTCCCTTAATATTTTTGGTAATTTTTTTATGCCAAAAATGGCACCAAGAAGCTATATTTTTATGTTGTTTATCATCCAAAACAATGCCAAAAATGTATGTTACAGAAACAACAAAAGTACTCACTTTGTATGTTCTTGATTATGTCTGATTGTAAGCATTGGATGATTTCAGGGCATACAATTCTGTAATGCATTTCAAGTAGTCCTGGAATGGATCTTTCTGCCCCCAATCCCAGTACTAGTGAAAACACATAAACTATGCAAAGTACGAGTCAAAAATGTCATCCAATGGCTGCTGGAGACCCTGCTTGCAAAGCTGCCATTTTGTTTGGCTCCACATCCCTCAATGATGTTGGTATGGGTACCAGTTTGGGTGTCTTTATAAGTCAGGGAATGATTTACTGACGAATGCTTAATGCCTTGATTATCGAAGTAGTCATGGGCTTTTGAACAGTTAAAGATAATCATGTTCCAGGTAGGATTTTCTGAGAAACCACCTGAACAAAGTCTCTTTCATGCAATATTTCACTATTAAAATCTTTCCACTTCGTTATTCAGTATTGTGAAACACCCACTTTCCATTCATCTTACTACTCCTATCATACTTCCTTTTGCAAAACTTACTCTCATCAGTCTCCACACAAAGACCATCAGTCATTTCACTCTTTTTCACATAAACATCCATGCACACACTTCTCTACAAAAACTCCTCCAATCAACCACACTTTTATGTGAAGAGACATTCACCTCATTCACAAGCAAATTCATTCCAACTTTGTATACCCACAAATAAGAAAAAAATTAAAATATCAATTATGCTCATCTTGCTTTCTTTGAACTATGTATCTTGTCTTACAATGATGAGCATTGGCACCTTTCTCACGGCAAACCCTGGTCTAACTATCCATTTGATCATTATGCTTGATTAAGTGCATACCTTTCATACAAACTGCACATTTATAGTGAACTAATTAAACCTTCATTCATACACCAATGAATGATAGCTTTCTTGCCCTTTTGCATTAAATCATGAAAAGACAAGTACTTATCTTGCCAAATGTATTTCTTTGGTGACATGAGGGGGGTAATGATCAATTAGAACAAGCCACAGACAGCTAATGAAAGTCAGCAATCAGTTAACACAGTGCTTAAAATTCAAATAATTTAAAATAGGATCAAAATTCACAATATTATGCGTTAAGTCATACATAGTACACATACAACAGGTCTCGACCACTAAACTAAGAAGATATAATCAAATTAAACTAAAATTCATTGATCATGTAACAAAAATATAGTTGCTATAATACTGCAAGAACAAACCCGTGGTAATTTGAAAACAGGTTCCAGCCTTGTATTGCAGAGCCGATATTTTGCTTCAATAAAATGGGCACCCTTCAGTATGCTAAAACCTAAAATTTTTCTAAATGCAAATACAGGGATCAAAGAAATATATAAAAAGTTACATTTTATGTTTTATGAAAAATTAGCATTTTGAATTTTAAAATGTCAAAACTTGAATTTTGAGTCATTTGAAACATTTTTTGTAAAGTGTGTGGCTGATCTGTGACCAATGGTTGTAAAAATAAAGGCTGGATAAGGACTTTTGTAGGCAGGGTGTACATATATATTAGTTTTTGTTTTCCATTAGGGTTTAAAATACTATTATTAATTGAGGCTGCCTTTTGGGCTTTAAAGTAATTCTGATTTGGATTTAAAGCTTAGAAGTTAAAATTTTTATATGTATTTTAATTTGTTGTAAAACCAAGCAATACTGTGACAGTTGAACCAGCTTAAATGTCATATATAAAAAGTGTAATTTTTTCTGTAAATATTTTTGATATGCATGTAATACTCTGAAACTGTCACAGTATTGCATACAAAATATAACAACACTTTGCTATTTTTTAGAATGCTGACAGCTGTCATGAAAAGCTTAAAAAAACTAAATAAATTGAGATAAAAATAAAATGCTATTAGCTGGTATTCATCCCCACCTTACATTGAAACAATGTATGTGAATGAATAAAATATGGCTTTTTTGGAAATTCAGTGTGTACTGTATGGCTTTAAAATCACAAAGCACCATGAAAAAATGCATTTATATTCCCCACTGATGAGATTGTCATGGGAATGTTTATCTAGATTTTTTTGACCAATCTTGTCTAGGAATATTCATTTTCAAAGCTGGAATTTAAAAAAAATTATATAGGGGTGTTGTGTTAGATGGGGTCATAAAAGAGTCCTTTATAGTGTAACAATAATTTATTACAATGGTTAAGTCACACACGGACATAATGTAAAATTTTAAGAATTATACAGAACAGGGGTGGGATACAGCCTAAGAGGTTCATCATCTGGCCTTTACTGAAGTCTTTCCCTGGCTGCTCACCAGAGAACACCCTTGTTGCAGGGAGACAGAACTGGAAGATTTGGGAGCTCTGTAATATTGCCTTTTGTCTGAGGCTTTTTGGTTTCCTGAGCAAGGGGACCTCTCTTTGAAGCACTGTCTGGAACATCAAGTTCTTGATAAGTTTGGAATACAAACTAACTTTTGGTGGTTGACTTCTCAGAGCAGAATGAGAGGAGAAATGCATATGTCTTTGAAAGATGTTAGTGTCGACGTATGCTATATCCCTAAGGGCTCTGATGTTTTATGAAGGCTTGAAATGACACAGAAAAGTAGGTGATTTCTGTGTCATTACCAAGTATGGACCATCACGCTTTAGTATGAACTTTGAGGTCCTTTTTGTTTTTTGAAGTATTAACAAGATATAAATTAACCCATACTTTATCACCTGGTGAATAAAACACTTGTCATATTGTTTTTTACGTTGATCTTGCTTCATTTTGATACGTTCTCATATGTTCTTTGTAACAGTTGTGAATGGTTTAAGATAAGGAGTAATTTCAGGAACAGTTATCATTTTCAACCACAGCTTTGAAATCGTGGACAGCGTCATCGACAGTCCTTGGCTCTTTTGCAAACAATAGGAATACTGGTGTGTTTCCTATAGTGTCACAAATGCCCTTATTCATAGCAAAACAAATAACTGGGAATTTCGAATGTCATTTGTCATGCGCATCTCCTACAAGGATTACAAGACGAGGTTTTAGATCTATATTTTTCCCATTCCACAGGAATTGATTGAGGAAAGTAAACTGGTATCAAATTTTGATTGATACTTAATGTGCAGCAAACTTGTTGCAAGATGGTACTGATAAATTGGGTTCCATTATCGCTGATGATTCTTCGTGGTAGACCTGGTATACCATGTCGCATGAGTACTTCTTAAATGAGGGTGATGGCATAGTCACATGCTGTAGCTTGAGCAAGAGGAAATAATCCAACCCATTGGATAGCACAGTCTTTGACAATAAGATCCATTATTTTCCAGTGTCAGTTTGTAGCAATGGTCCAAACAAGTCTATAGAGATGATATTAAAACATTGAGTAGACAGGATTTCTTAGCAGTCCAGCTGGCTTTTGGTTAATAGCTTTGTAGTGGTTGAACTTAGCACAGCTTTTCACATAGTCAGTATGTACTTTTTCATACCAGTTAGTAGCATCTGCCAGTTATTTGGAATGATCCTTCCTCTTCATAAATGTCCAGCTATCGGGTCATCATGGTGCTTTCACATGATGGATTCACACTTGGTAGTTGGAATGACTAACTGGGCCTCTTCTGAATTATAGTCAGGGATGTATCTGCAGAGAACACCTTGATTCATTAAGAATCCCATTCAGTTGGCTCATTCTTCAATTTTCCGAGAGGATTCAAAACTTTCGATAATCTTTTTAAATTTTCATCTTTAAGTTGAGATTTGTGCATGTCAACTACAGATATATTTGAAATCTCGCTATGTGAAACTTTATGTTTGGAAAGTTCTCAGCGATGACGTTTTCCTTTCCAGAGATATATTATAGTTTTGGGTTCAAGTGCCCATCCAGCAAGTCGTCTGCTTGGAAACGGGAGGTTCAAAAGCCATTTCAAAGATTGATGATCAGATGGTACTGTTACTTCTGATCCTTTGACATAACCATGGAATTTCTTCAGAACCCAGACGACAGTAAGATCTTCTCGTTCAGTTGTCAAATAGTTTTGCTCAGCCAGAGAAAGCAGTTGGCTGGCAGGTGTTCTTTTGACCTTTCCCTTTGAAGTAAAATGGCTCCAAAAGCATAACTGCTTGCATCGGTTCGAAGAGTATTGGTTGAGTTCCATTTGCTTGCATCAACATGGGAGGTATTATTAGTCAGTTTTTAAGAATTTCAAATGCTTTTTACTGGTTGAAACCGCATTTTGTGTAATCCAAATATTTGGCACGAAAAGAAGCAAAGTGGCACTTTTATCTGTTTGCGTGAAATGTGAAGAGCAAAAGCCTTTCGAAAATAACTTGGACATCGGAAAGGTGTTTCTCAAATGATTCTGACAAAACGCTGAGGTAGGTGAGGGTTAGGATGTCCTAAAGGCCATTGCAAAAATCATCTATCAATCTCCAAAATGTTACCAGGGCATTCCGAAGACCAAAAGGCATTCATAAGAAATGATATGCTCTGAAGGGACACACAAAGGCTGTCTTGTCTGGATCATCAGCATGAACCTTCACTTTGTGATAACCTGTACAAGGATCAAGAGTCGATAAAAAAAGGAGTAGGATTTGCCTCAGGTAACAGGTCATCCATTCTCAAATATATTGATACTTAATGTGCAGCAAATTTGTTGCAATGTGTAACAAGTTTGCTGCACATTATATTAAAATAAAAAAGAGAATTTTTCTAAAGGAGTTGGCTGGTTCTAAATGGGGTTGTGACCTTAATATTCTAATGATGACTTATAACATGTATATTCCACTTGTGCTCCTTTTATTCTTATGATATCTCTGTTATAGCTATATCAGCAGTAACTAGAAGTTGTTCCTAATCAAACTATTTGTCTGGTGACAGAAGCTCTTAAAATTACATGTTACACATTATTAATGCTACCCATGGTTTAAATATTACTTCATTTACCAAGATGAAAAAATTTTATTCTCAAAACCTTTTTTTAATGTTTTTTTTTTTTTTTTTTTTTTTTTTTTTTTTTTTTATCTCCCATTCACTGGTTTACAAGTTGCAATCATTTAAAATCACCAGTCTGAGGTAGACGTTCTTCTCCACCTGAATAAATATTTTTTGAATTTTAATGAATATTTTTTGAAGTTTTTTTAGGTCTGAACTTGTAAGCCAATAAAAAGGAAATGAATTCTGAACATGTTTTTGTTATAACAAAGGCAACAATTGTAAATAATTATTTAGATGATCTGTGCCCTGTGTTTTTACAGATGGCTTATTATTGTATAAAGAGGATTGATCTGGTGGGGTTGTTTTTTTATTTCTGTCTAGGTATGTATAGAAATACATACTATTCATTTTAATGGCCAGATTGGGACTGTTTTTATTGCCTTTCATCAGTTATAAATTCATCAACGTATATTTACTAAAGCTGTGATCCTCTCAGATTCAGATCTGTTCTTGGTTGTTTCAAGTTTTTTTTTTTTTTTTTTTCCTTTCATGTAATAGAGAATACTGAAAGTCTGTATATAAAAATGGAGAATATTGATATCCTCTATATAATTCAAAATAATACATTGATGCCTAGAAACTGCACTTGTATTTTTATACAAGCTGTTCGATAGAACAGTGTGAGTTTTCTATTGTATTATAATTTGACGCATATGTGAAATCTCATCACATGTCATTTTTTTTTTTTTAGTCCAAAGGGATTTGAATCCCGAAGGAACTATTAGTTTCGTTTTGGCATTTTGCGTCGGACTCATAAATGTCGGTTCACTTTTCAAACTGTTGCCATAAAATGTTAGAGTCCTGCATTATATTTGAAGAAATTAAATAATGAAAAATCTGCATAAATGTATGTATATTTCTCGTATTGTCATAAAACAACGGTACATAGAGTCATCGAATTTTGAATAACGTAATCCTCCAACGAATATGAGCATGTGGAAGACCAAATTTGAAATTTGTTTTATGATCGATTTCCTATTTTTTAAAACTTTGACGAATTTTTGATTAACAAACTCAAGGATTTCAAAGCGAGCAATGGCAACGTTGTGCAGAAAAAACATTTTTATCTCCAGCGCGTGAGTCTCTGTATCGGAAATTCTAAAGATATGCTCGTTTTAAAACTATTTTGCGATATTGCTGTTGCACTGGATCTTATGGTTTAAGTGCGAGGAACATGATATTTAATAAAGAAAGGTAACACACAAAATGTTAAAAAACGCCCCTTTGGACGTAATTTAAAATCTGAAACATTTCAGATTTTTTTTTTTTTTTTTTTTTAAAGTTTCTCTATTTTTTTGGCATTTTCGATTGGACTTTTTTGTAAGGCATTTTTGCGAAATTTAAAATAATAAATCCATTTTGTAATAACAGTGATCTGTTTATCACTTATTATATTAGAGAATGGCACAAGCTTGACTACATAACGCTTCAGCATTGCACACCAATCAAAACAGATGTGTGCTATGTATATATGTGGGTTACCTCAGAAATACATAAGTTGCCAGATTACTGTTTTGGTGACTTTTAGGTGGGGGCAGGGGCAAGTAAAAGAAAGTATCTTTTTTGTAGTTACTGAGTTGAAAAAATGAGTGTGCATAAAATAAAACCATTCACATGCATTTTTTAAAGATAATTTTTACGTGATTGTAATGTTCAGGTTCAGTCAACGTATTTGTTATCTTAAATAAATGATGTAATTTTTTTCATTTGGCATATTTTTTTATCAAATCTCTTACAGTGATTCATTTTTTTTTTTTTTAAAGTTGTTGCTGGTTATGTTTCTGCATCTATGTATAAGCAAATGGGAGGAAAACTATGGGTTTGGAACATAAATCTCACATCATTTTTATTTTCAGGTATGCAACCTTATAAGTTTATTTCTTTATTTTAAGAATTTTTGGTGTGTGTGTCGCAATCTTTTTTAGCTAATGTAGTAGTAATCATTTGTTTTTATTTACATAGTTTTTGTGTTTTAGGTCCATTTTTTATAATTTGGAGCATTCAGAATAGTATAGCTTGGGCATATAGTTCAACACAAGCACTTCCTTTCACAACTATTTTATTACTCTTAGCAGTCTGGCTGTGTGGTAAAATCCTTTCCTGTTTTTATGGCAAAATATGTTTTTAAAAACAGCTTAAAAATTCTACAATCTTAGCATAACTGTGCATATTTTTTATAGTTGGCTATCCTCTTTGTATCATGGGAGGTATTCTTGGTAGGAATTTGGCTGGAAACTTTGACATGCCTGGCAGAACTAAACATATACCTCGAGAAATACCACCTGTTAATTGGTATCATTCTCCACCAGCTCATTGTGCTATAGGTGGATTTTTACCCTTTAGGTACAGTTTAATGCTGTTTTTCTTTTATAATATTTTAGTTTAAGAGAAATCCTAATATATCTTATGCAGTTTATTGTTTTTTGCAAGAGAGGAAAATATGTCGTTATCAGAATAATTAATTACACTATATCCGTGTTTCCCAACGTAGGGCCACCGCCCCACAAGGGGGCAATGCGACTGTTAAGGGGAACAATTCAAAAGTGGACTTGTCCAGAGTTTAAGTTGACAAAGGACGTTCTAAATATGTTTCATGAAGTCAAAATTTTTCAAAATTTAACTTTTTTCCCCCAAAATAAAGAAAAATGTAAGTGATGTATACGTAAAAAGTTTTTAAATTGCGGTGCATTTTAAATATTTTATAAAGAATTCGCTGTAGACATGGACATTTAAATGCTTTTAAAGGCATTTAAATAACTGACACATTATGCTTTCCAGACGTTTCTCGCACATTTAAGCCAACGAATTTATTTTATTTTTTACTGTAGGAATGGCGACCGGTATATTATTTTTCCCTTGAATTCTTCCCTTGAATGGCAACAGCAGCTGCTTTCAGCTTTATTTATATTGATCGTATATTTGTTTCTTTCAGCCCTTAGTGAAATGAAGGGTATCATTCAAGTTTGTTCTTTTCAAGAAAAAAGCGTTCAACGGTATTCAGAGGCATATTTAAAATTAGGTTTCATACCCAATCAACTTTTGTCTTCTATGCCAATAATGCCTGACCAACGAATCAATGAAACTAGGTCATATTGAGGCACATTTGAAGGCGAAACATAATGCTGACATTAATTAAGATTTGAATTAGTTTCACACTTTGGAGAAAATTTTTGAAAAAAGCGTAATATTAAAGTCTCTATTTACTGCTCATAATGCAACTGTTAACTGTGCTCTTGAGGCTATTTATCAAATTTCATTTCTCATCGCTTAATATGGGAAAAGCCGTACTATAGAGGAGAATTGAATCAAACCATCAATATCAGCATTTAAAACTATCCTAGAAAAAGATGACAATGACGTTAAAGCCATGCTAACTAAATAACAATACTGTTTGCAGAAGATTAAATGAGGATATTGAAATACAACTTGTTGAAAAGCTGAAAAAAATTTTCGGTGCAAATGGATTAACCAACTATGAGAGACAGTGAGGCCGTACTTGTAACTACAAAATTACTTAGATATAAAAAAATATACCAATAAAAAATATAATACATCTTGTACTGCAGATGATGCTCCTAATATGATGGCTGAAAATTAAAATAAAGCAGGGAATAAGAAAAAGGGTTGCTTAAAATTGACAAAAGATGAGAATCCAGAAATGCTTCTTGTGCATTGTGATATTCATAGAGAATACCTGGTAGCTAAAAACAACTCGCCTGTTCTAAATGAAGTACCAAATTCAGTTATAAAGTGTGTCAATGCTATTAAAGCTAGGGCCAAATGTGAACGTCTTTTCAAGTTATTTTATGAAGACTATATGAGACTTGTATTTCACACTGAAGTAAAAAGGCTGTCGAAAGGGAACTGCTTGGAAAGATTTAAGGAACTATTTGATATTCTTAGTTATTTTATAAGCGAAAAACCTGAGATGAAAAATCCGTTAACAGATGATAACAAGGCAATTGCGAGTTATTTAGCCGATATCTTTGAAAAATTAAATATATTGAATAAACAACTTCAAGGAGCAAATAAAACTTATGTCGATGCAAAAGGAAGATATTTGGTTTCATTATCTTTGTTGAATTATGTCAGGCATATACTATTTTACCACTAAAATTTTGAAAAGTCTCATTGGCTCCAAACATGTGATGTGACTTACTGCTATACTTGTTATTGTCAATCATCTGAAAATTTTATCGGCCGATTTAAAATATTTTGTAACTTAAAACAAATTATTTCCCAACTTGGATGGTGCAGCCAATGTTAGTGGATTTGATTGTTATTTCAAATATGCAGTAAAAAGAAGAACTTGCAGAAATGCAAAATGATGAGTGAATTAAAATTTTATTTAATATAAAAGGAGCTATGACATAGCTTTGTGAGGAAACCAGAATCAGATATCCAAATGCAACAAAATTTGCTAGAGAACTATTGTTACCGTTTCCATCTTCATATTTTGCTGAATGCAGATTCATAAATGATTTGCTGCTAGGAAAAAAAGAAATCTGTTGGATACAATGAAACCAGGAGACTTGAGACTCAAGTTATGTAGATTGGAACCTGACATAAAATTTCTTGCTATCATTCAAGTTTCTTTCGTGAACATTTCAATTTTTAAATATTAAAAATTATGTATATGCTAGGGGGAGCTTAAAAATTTTAGAAATTCTAGATATTAGTTATCAGAGACAAACAAGCATATTTCCTAATCTTCTATACACTTTTCATAAAATTAGAGAAGCACTTTTACTAAGAGCTTCATTCAAAGCAGTTGAGTAAAAAATGTTCTTAAACTGTCAACATATCCTCTGAATCATCAAAAGACAGCTGTAGAAAAGATTGTGAAATATAAACTAGCAACCAAAGACATCGAAATTGATGTCCATATGAAAATCTATAAAATGAGTGGGTTTTTTTTTTTTTTTTTTTTTTTTTTTTTTTTAACTGTATTGTTGTACAATCAAAAGTCTTTAATCTAGAATGATCTATAATGCGGACCTCAAAGCTACAAACTTCCTGCGTATGCGCATAATACCTTTACGCATGCGCGTATGCGTTTATGTATGCGCATAATACCTTTACGCATGTGTGTTTAATGTATAACGGACGGTATAAGCTAAGCTAAAATTATCTAATTATCTATTTCAGTTAATGTTGCGATTGCGTTTTTTTATCTTCTAATTGGATCCGGCTGATTTTTTGCAGACTGAGAATTTTATAAAATTAGCTTAAATTTTGATTAGGTCAAAAAAGAATTCCGATTCTGGAGCTGCCAAGGATCTACAAAGCGAAAGCATGTTTCGATGTCCTCAAACAAAAAGTGGCATTGCTGCAAAAAATGGAAAAGGATATCCTTTGTTCTCTCAATTCCAAAATCTGTTATCAATTTCACGCTGCTCTGCGGGGGGGGGACTTCGCGGCGCGAAAATGAACTGGAAGTTGATCTGTCAGCACTATCCTTATCTTCAGGGCAGATGTTTTTATTTATTCGGCTTATAATTTCTTACTAATTGTAGTTTGATCTCTGGTCGATTTGATACTCATCTTTCGTCATTATAAATTCACAATACATCAATATTTTTCTGTTGCAATTTTTTTTCGACTATGGTAATGTATGCTTTTACGCATGCGGCGTTGATAGAATGTTTAAAAGAAAACAAATAAATATTAGCTTTTTTTTTTTAATTTGATACCCTTTAGATCATAATTGCTCTTTATTTCATAAATTACGGTTTCATATTTTTAATTTTATAATTTGTACGTGCCATCTTACCAGATTTAATTTGATGATCTATAATCCTGAAAACCGATAATCCGGAATCGCCGAAGTCTCGACTATTCCGGATTAAAGACTTTTGACTGTATAGCTTCTTGTATAAGAAGCAAATTTTTGCATCTATCTCATATTAGCATCCTGAATCAACTCAGTTTACTTGAAATATTGCAAAAATATTGCATAGTGACGTTGGAATCAAAGATAGTGAATTGTAATGTCTGTCATTATAGTATGCCGTAGTATAATTGTACACTAGTGCATGTGAGCTACCATCTGAGATTATGATTTTTATAACATTAGATGAGCTCTTATAAAATGATTTTTTTTAATTTGTTTTTGAAGAATAAAATGACGTCTTCCATATACAAGACAAACATTTATTTAATCTATGAAGACGTTGAACAAC